CTCGGCCTTCTTCCTCTGTAAGCAGTGGTCCATATTCCTTTTCTCGAAATCGCACCGCACGGCTGGAGATAGGTAACGACCAAACCTGATCACTGAGTCTCGCTCCCACAGCGAGAGCTGCTCTGTTCCTCGGATCCCGAGGCTCCACTGTCTCAATCATTACGCGCGTCCCGTCTGGCTTCTTAATGGACAATGTCTGGCTCCCGTCCGGTCTCTCTATCGTCACTGCATGCACGTGGCTTAGCCACGTCCGTCCCAAGAGCAGGTCAGAGCTGCAGTTCTTGACTGCAAAGACCGGCAGGGTCACTCGTACCCCTTGGACTTCTATAGCTGCCTTGTGACAAACCTCGGTAATTTGTTGCTTTCTACCATCAGCTGTCTCTATCTCAAATAGATACGACCTATCGAGGCCCAGCCCAACCTGCACTACCAAGTCGTCGTCTATGATAACAGCCTCACTGTCGTTATCGATCACAGCATCAAGCATCGCTCCATCGTTGATAATTGTCTCCACTGCCCCACTACCAAGTATATAAAATTTGTCTGGAGGCACACCTTCCATTCCATCGAGAAGGACGGTTGCCATGCGATCCGCTCTGGCAGTCACCCCTGTCACTGCTACTGTAGAAGCTTCCGCCTTAGGGGCCCCTTGCCCTTCCTCTGATAGAGGTATGCGAGTCTTGCGCGTGATCATCTGTAACTCATCGCGAGCCGGCTTCGATGCTGCCAGGTACTCCAGAATAGAGCATTGCATGGGCTGTCGAAGAGTCCTCCTCAGTGGCTCGACCGTGTCAATCTCAGCATCCAGGCGGCGGGGGAGAAGGGAGGGAATATATGAAGAACAAAAAGGATAGAAAGGACAGGAAGGAAAGAAAGGCTAAAAAAATGCGCGGAGAAGTCCCAGTTGCGCTCCTCGACTCCATCGCTCCCGCTGTGCGCTACTCAACCAGCGTGCGCCAACCAAAAGCGGCTCCGATCGTGGAAAAAAAGGCAGCAGCAGCAGGCTAGGAACAAGGAGATGAAGCAGATGGTGCACGTTATCAGCAGCGCGAAGCCCCTAGAGGAAGCGTAAAGAAAGGCTCTCTCGGAGAGGCAAGCGGCCGTGAGTATGCAGGCAATGGCGAGGTTGGGGAGTAAGGTGAGGAGGAAGAGGAAGGCCAGACCTGCGCCCAGCGTTGGCGTGATTGAGCTCGGAGGGAGCGGGGCAGGTTGCGCAAGGCAAATCGCGTCTGCTTGCATGGTGCGTGGTCGAGGTCCGGTCGGGGCAGCAAGAAATTGACGAGAGAGTCCTCACGCCAGGATCGTTACCGCTTCTTCCGCCTCTGGCTGCTCCTCCACCTGGTCCTAGTCGTCGAAGAAGTCCATGTCGCGCGCCGCCTCACCCAAGCACCCGCAAAACCAGAATGCACCGCGCCCTACCGCCTGTCAGAACCGATTATTGCACGGTGGACCTATGAACAGTCCTACCTACGTCTGGTCCTAATATAGTCCCTCCTCCATCGAAGATCGTGGCCTTCCGATGAAAGCCTCCTCACACATCCATCCGTTTATTCCAGAGTTCCTACTCAGCGAAAGAGGAAAAACGGAAAGAAGAAAAATAAAAATAGAAAAATAGAAAAATGAAAAAATGAAAAAGAGAAAAGGCAAAAACCATCAAGCAAACTATGCTACGATCGGTCCATGGCCTGGCTCACGATCCGACCCTGTTCTGCGTGCGCGACATCCCTCGGTTCCCTACGCATCTGCACTTTTCTTACAAGCCGTCGGGGGGGCGGTCACTTCATGGGAAGGGCCTCAGTCCTATCCATGTGTGGGGTGTGTGCCTGATCGCGTTCTCCGGAAGGGGTGACCAGAGGCGTGCCTTATTCAAAGTCAGGAAAAAACAGGGGTGGGGTGGGTGGGGGGCCGAAGAAGCAGTAAGGGACATGCTGCAGGGAGGGGCGTGTGCATGTGTATCAGAGGACAAAAAGGGGGGGGGGGGAAGGAAAAAAGAAGGAAAAAAGAAGGAAAACACAAGAAGAACCGGAAAAACGAACAAAAAGAAAAGAAAACAATAAAGGTGAGAGAAAGAGAACACTGCACTTATTACAGAGCCTGCCTTGTCGGCCCGGGCCGTGCCCCTGTCCCTGTCATCGATCAATCGCCCGATGTACCTGTGTGTGTGTGTGTGTGTGTGTGTGTGTGTGTGTGTGTGTGTGTGTTTGTGTGTGTGTGTGTGTGTTTGTGTGTGTGTGTTTGTGTATGTGTGTACATGCGTTCCGCTGAGTGTGTGTGTGTGTGTGTCTGTGTGCACGTGTGCCGGGGGAAGGGGAGGGAGGACCCCTCCCCCACCAATCAATCAACCAATCAATTAATCAATCAATCAATCAATCAATCAATCAAACAATCAATCAATCAATCAATCAATAGAAAACAATCAATCAATCAATATTTATTTTTTTTCAATTTTTTAAATTATTTTTGTCACTCACCCAAAACCAACCCCCAAAATTTTCAATTTTTTTTTTTTCTTTTTGTACAGGGTGGTGGTGGCCGACGTGCGCAAGTGGGGCGACCGTGCCATTTTTCTACGCGCGCCCTCCCCTGGCCCTGGCGAGGCCGCGCGTAAACTCGGCCGCGCGGCCTCGGCTGCGGGCCCGCGGCCGGCGTACTCGGCCGCGGCTGAGGCCACAGGATCGGCAGCCTAGGGGGTCACGTAGAAGCGCTTACACGGGGAAGGAGGCAGGCTTGTGGGTGACCACGTCTGTTCAAAGTCCATGGGCAATGGAGGGTGGGGGGGGAGGTGGGCGTGCTGTGTTGACGTCCATTGAAAAGACGGCGGCAGTGGCGGCGGTGCTGGCCGTCGTTGGCCATTGTCAGGTAGGAAGAGGGTCCAGCCACATGAAAGCGAAGCTATCGAGGCACAGACAAAGGATGCTGATACAGAGAGTGATCGACGCCCCAGACTGTGTGGCAACTTTGGAGGTTGTTGTCCAACAGTGCGCTGCACTGGGCTCCGGTGTGCTCCCTCGAGTGATGCTGAGATGGTGGATGAAATGGAAAATGGGTGGGACGTGCAAAGATTTGCGGGTGTGATGACACGGCGGCCACCTGCATGCTTCCACGGGAACACTTCGGTGACGTGATGACCCCCCCACCCCTGCAGGCGGTGTACTATTCGTGAGCCGTTTTTCCATCGTGCTCGCCTTCTTCGACGACTGCCTCGTCTGGTTCCTCTCAGGAAATCGCCACCGGAAACACAAGTGGAACACATCAACCACCAGAAAAGCAGCACGGCGATAAGCAGCAGCAGCGGCAGCCTGCAGTGCAGGTCAGCCATGAAGGACACAAGAGAGAGGATAGAGTGGGCACAGATCTTGTGGAATGTGCATGCAGTGACAACGCATGACACTCCGAAACACTCCAGGAGTACGCACTATCATTAACATAGCGCCTGCACCAGGACCACAAATTCAAAATGAACGACCAGTGGAGACCCCACCGGAACGCCACAGACCCCAAACGAGGCTGCTGGAAATGATGACGCGCCCTGCCGCCATCAACCGCCAACGGTAAACGGATGGGGCCATTGGAGGACGTCCATGACGTTGAAGGCTGACAATGTCCGTCGCCCGGCCCCTGGACCATGACTGGACCACCTTCGGCCTTCAATTTTCATTCTACGCTCGACGCCAAAACCCCATGAATCGCGGACCCTTGGAGCCGAGGACGATTTTCCTGGAAAATCCTCAGACCCCGAGAATTTGTCCTCAGAGTGTTTTCACATTTTTTTTTCGACTATTGACTTTGAGGACAGGTGGAACGACAACGAAATCCTTGGAATTGCGTAAAATAAATAAATAAGCCAGAGTGGCCTTMGCGCCCTTATTTGACTCATTCCAACCCGCACACATTATTTCTTATGTATAAGTTCACCGAGAATGAGTTGAGTGAATTCCCCGTTATGAGAGGCCTCTGCTTCCCGTTGCGCCTTTGGCTCCACTCTGGCTATAGATCATACGCGAAGCATCTGCTCGAGTACAAATGGGGGTGCCTTGGAATCGCGTCCCCAAGGAATGTCTAACGATGCCCTTGGTCTGGGTCCATGTCAATGATGTCATCTATGATTGCGTACTAATTGAGCGGATGTGAAATTCACCCATACTACCGTCAGTGTTCTTCTCTCTGTCCACGTTATCGTCATGCCAGGATCTTTTCGGCACTCACCAAATTTGAAAAAGATAGGCTGTGGCGCTGTCTCGTTCCGCCCTTTACGGCGAGGCCCTGTCCGGCTAGAACGCAGAACGGAGTCCCGTTACGGCGAGGTATTTCTGATCATGTCTGCACTCGAATACCGGGATGTATCTGTCCTGAATTAGAGCTGCATGCGGATGTGACTGACAGCAATTACGTCCAGGGGAAGTCAAAAAGGTCGTACTGTGAAATTGCTCTCAGAGGGACCATCTGGATAGGTGGTGCAACACCATAGGGGCTCACGATGCTACAGGAGATCATAGAATTGGTGAATGATTCACACTGCGAATGGGCAGGGATGTACTTCGCCACCTCCCGAGTGAAGATGCACTCCCCATTTTTCTCGCTTCTTTAGCGGTGTGGCCAGGCCCATCGTTTTTGGTGAAGGGATTGTGAAAGTCCAATCTTGCAGACCGAGAAAAGTCAGAAGAAAAGTCAGCTTGTGAGAGATGCACTCCCCTTCTGGCGAGCCCTGAAGTCCCGCACCGCTCGACCACTGCGACCTTCGACGCTGATTCCGCCGTTCTTTTTTTTTGCATTTTTTTTGTTTTGTGCCGGGTGTCGAGGAAATTGCTCACAGAGAAAGTCCGGGGACCTCGTCCCACATGCTCCGTTGAACTGAGGTAACTCAACGCCATCAACGGTGTGACAGCCGAATGCATTTTTTTATTCACAAGAAATGGGATATTGCTTTTTTTATTCAAGAATCGGGAATAAGCTTGGTTTTCTTTTCTCTTTCTTTCTTTTTTTTTTTTTCTTTTTTTTTCTTTTTTTTTTTTCTGTTTTTTTTTTGTAAGTCCATGGTGTTGTAGAGGTCAGTCACTGAGTGCACAGTGATTACCTGGAGCATTAGGCCGTGGGTGTCCTGGAATATGAGGCCACCTCCTATCCCATCCTCACGTCAAGTGCACCCCCTATCCCACTATCCTACCTCAGTGTGACCAGCACTCAGGACCTATGTGTCCTCGGCTGCAGGCCCACGGCCGAGGCCCCGCGGCAGAGTTTGCGCGCGGCCACGCCAGGGGGCGCGCACGGAAAAACGGAGTGCGCACGCCGCCTGCGCACATTGGCCGCTATCGCCCTGTGCAGAAAACAAAAATGTAAAAATTTGGGGGGTGGATTTTGGTGTGTGACAAAAAAATAAATAAATAAAATAAAATAAAAAAATGTTGATTGATTGATTGATGTTTTTTTTGATTGATTGATTGATTGATTGATTGATTGACTGGTGGGGGAGGGGTCCTCCCTCCCCTCTCCCCGGCACACGTGCACACATGCACACACACACACACACATCACACACACTGTGACACACACACGCACACACACACACACACATACAAACACATACGTGCGCACACACACACACACACACACACACACACACAGACGCGCTTCATTTTTTTTTTTCTAATCAATCAATCAATCAATCAATCAAACAGCACAGAAGAAGAAGAAGAAGAAGAAGAAGAAGAAGAAGAAAAAAAAAAAGCAATTACCTTGGCAAAATTTTTAGGACTCTGACTCCATACAGTCACGAAAAAAATGAAAAAAAAATATTACTGCTTTTCTTTTAATTATTTTTTTTTTTTTTTTTGAACCGATTTTTATTTTTCATTTTCTATAAATCCTAAATGAAGTCAAATTCAAAAACAAAAAATACGGGGTTGT